GGCGTGTGGGGGGGGGGGGGCGAACGTTGAGATTGGGGTCCTTTTGCAGGACAGGAAAAAAAAAAAAAAAAAAAAAAAAAAAAAAAGTTGGTGGAAAAATAGAATTAAAAGACAATCTGAATCTTTCCATGAACTTTTTGAAGAAAGACAATCTGAATCTTTCCATGAACTTTTTGAAGTACTTTTATATAGCGTGGTACTATCTGGATCTCAGTCTCCCACTGGGGGTCTGGGAAGGTATCCCCTGGGAAGATTAGGGGGGACTACTGTCTACAATGGATGAGAAAATGTTATCAGGGACACGATAACCTGTAAGCATACGTGGCATGTCAACTGCTACCTGTGTCTGACTGTTAATGTTAACGTTTACCCTAATGAGACAGAAAAGTCAAGCCTTTGGAATCCAGACTTTGGAACCCAGACTCTCAGGACAGACCCTCCAGAAAAATGCAGGTTCCCATCCGCACGTCTTCAGTTCTTAGGGCTGTTTCCTCGTGCACAACCCGGCTAAGGAATTTCTGTCGCAGCCTTTCGTTCAGTCCCTTCGTCAATGCACGTCACGGAGAACTTACATTTGAAGGCCACCATCACAGGTGAAGAGGCATTAACGTCCTTCCCTTCTCTTCTCTGGTTATGTGGGAAATTGTCATACTTGCGTTTCCTGAACCCTCCCGATCCTTCTGGGGGAGAAGAAGGGGGAAAGTTGGACCGGGATCTTCCGTCACCGAGGCCCGCAAAACGCTCCGGGCACAGGCAAACGCCTCCTGCCTTCACACCCGACCCCCGCAGGGCCTCGCCTTCCTGCTCCCTGTGACAGACAAGCAGCCCCGCCTGACCCCACGACCATCCCGGCCGCCACCAGCAGGCTCCTCGACCCGGCCCAGGTGGGGCAATTACCGAACTGGGACAAAACTGCAGACTTAAAAATTAAACGAGGGGCGTAAACGGGACCATGTGGCCGTTCAGGGACCCAGGGCCGCCGCCCCACGAGCCTGCCAAGGACCAGGGCATCCCTCGAGGCCCAAAAGGCAGCAGAGCCTCCCCTGTGAGTACAGAGCGGCCCGGGCTGTGGGGGACGCCACCTTCTTTGTTGCTCATGTCGTCCCGGCCACGCTACGGGCCCCGGAGCGAGCAGAGTGCACAGGACGCGGGCCGCCGAGCCCGGGAGCGACGCTGCGGAAGCGCCTCTCGCCACACAGCCGGCGTCGACGCAGCAACCAGAAGTCGCGCGGGGGCCTCGCGCGCGTAGCACCGCGCCTGACCCCTTCTGTGCCTGAAGGCAGAAGCGGCTCTACACGCCTCACGGCATGCGCTGTTACTAAACGGAATGTGCCCTTCTGGAAGTGAGATCTGTGTGGACATGGGAAAGCGGCGGAAGATGGGATTTTTGGATTTTTCTATTATTTTCTCTCAAGGCGCCGCTGGGACACCCCGGCGTCCCCGCGGCGGGGCCCGGGAGAGCAATGCCCGGGGGCGGTGCTGCGGAAGCGCCTCTCGCCCCACAGCCGGCGTCGACGCAGCAACCAGAAGCGCGCGCCCGCCCGCCGGGGCCGCGCCCTTCGCCCCCTCGCGCAC